CCACCCCACCCTACCTGCTGTCCAGATGTAAGGATGTTGTTGACCCCACTGTTCTGGGAGCATTTACTTGTAGAGATCCTATGCAACAATATTTCAGTCTTAAGGAGAAAGACAAAAAACAGAAATGATTGTTGTGGAATACTTTATACACATTTTATAATGGATGAACATAAAAAATGAGCATCCCCTGTTAGATACATTACAGTTTGTTATCAATTAACAGATGATAAATATACCTAAATAATAGGATGAGAGCCAGATTGATGTAGTGGTTAAGGCATCAGGGTAGAATTTGAAAGACCACTCCATGCCTTAGGCACAACTTTCTCTCAGCCTGAAAATGGAGATAATGGCAAACCAGTTCTAAAAAAAAATTGTCAGGAAAACTGCAGGAAGTCCAGGCAGTTTTCAAGAATTAAACATGATTGAACCGAAGGAAAAAAGTAGATATAAAGGAAAACAATGGAAATGAACTAAATATATTTAACTGAAATGCCAAGTACTTTCAGTGACCACAATACTATGTGTTAGTATGATGTAATGATAAGTGACATACCAGCAGTAGGAAGATCCAAGTCCACTCGCAGACATGGAAATTCACTGGATTACTTTGGACCAGGTTACATTCTCTCAGTCCACCTCCAGGGTTTGCTATTCTAATCATAAAATATAAAAATTCCTCTGTAAATATTTTTTTCTTCATGGAGGAAAAGTAGTATCTAACTGACAGACAAGCAAAGTTTGGACCAAACAGTAATCTTAGTCCTGTTGAGCTAATTAAGATTGCATAGTCCCAGCATTATAAACTAGCACGTGTTTATGTGTGTACTTTTACTTATTTGGATTCAAGAAACTTAAAATCTAGTTGGAACTCACAGAAATATGTTTCTATCAGGTCAAGCTACTTGTCCATTAATCCAGCTCAGCAACTGAATGGCAGCACCTTTGCCCAAGGACTATTAACTAACACCCATCCATAGAGTTCCTTTGCTATGTTTTTGTCAGGAATAGAATTTAGAATCTTCTCCTTGTGAAACAGGTCCTCTTTTGAGTTATGGAAGGAGCCATAGCTCAGGGGTGGGATCCAACCGTTATTACTACCGGTTTGGTGACTACGTTTTGCTGTGCGTGCGTGTAAAAAACCTTAAGCTGTGCTGCCCGGACAGATGAAAAGTGCTGCGCGCAGGTGTGCAGCATTAGAAAAGCCACTTTTTTTCCTGCTTTTTCAACCTCAGCTGTGCCGTGCAAAGCAGCTGAGGTTGAAAAAGCAGGAAATAAAGGGGAGGTAAGAGCCCAGGCGGGCAGGTGGGCCAAACAGCAGCAAACACAAAACCAGTTCGGTGTCTGCTGCTCTTCAGAGCTACTGGTTCTATAGAACTGGGCAGAACCAGTAGCATCCCACCCCTGCTATGGCTCCATTCTTAACCCCCTTGCCTGATGTGATATCATTGTTTGTGCCAATCAAAATACAGAATATAGAAAGATAACAAGTCATACGGGTTGCTCAAGCTCATCCCACATTGCAGCCTGAATGGTCAATTATCTGACCCATTTATTCTTTTTGTCTCCAAACTTCTTGTGGCCTACTTTTAAAGAGGCTATCTGATGTTTTAAAGCTTCTGCAACGTGAACCGTACCAATGAAGTGTCTGCTTACATCAGTTGCCACTGCAGAAGCTAATCAGACACAAGGCAAATCAAATTTCATTCAGCGCTGACCAACAGTAAACCCCAAAGTCAGGAAATCATCTAGTCTCAGAAAATAATCAGGCAGACAATCTGTCCCTCTAAGTTTCTTCCTTGCACAAAGGAAAAAAGGACAGATATAGCCCTTCACAAAATGAGCCGCAGTTCGTTCTTCTCTCAGGACATAATTTACAAAGAGGTCTGGGCCCTAGGTTTAAATTCCAGAAATGTTAGAACACCTTCCTTAGCTGGCATTAGCCCTGGATGCCATTTTATCCAGGGAAGTTATTACCCTGAGACTAGATCTAAGGAAAGAGTCCACCAGACAGGATTTGGGAAGCTTAGTCAATACAGGTAGTGTAATATAGCAACATGAACAGTTTCCTGCAGCTTCTTTTCAGAGATATCAGTACAATTTGTTTGTTTGCTCTATGGTCACAGACAAATTCAATATAGAATATAGATTTGGCTTTGCTTAACACAGAACCAATGGTTTCTAATGGTTGCAACAGGAAAGGTTTTACAACTTTTGCAAAGATTTTGCTAGTCAGATTCTTCAATAAACAATGTAAAATCTCTGACTGGGGTCATCCCATGTATTTAATAATAGAGAAATTAGTTTTGCATGCAGATAATGTATAAAATACAAGCTGCTGTGATACGTGTATGTGCATTTCTAGTAAGAGATGTTCTTGATCTTCCTGTCATAACATTAAAACCTTGCCACTTAGAATGCCTTTTTATGAGGGCCAGAGAGGGTATTATGAAAATATTTAGGAGTGGCATAATAAAAGGCCCTCCAACTCCGAGCCCACAGACCAGTACCAGTCCATGGCCTTTTAGGAATTGGGCCGTGCAAGCAAATGCATGCATATGATCTACGTTGTGCATGAAACCATTCTACACCCCTCAACCCCATCCCTGCTTTATGGAAAAATTGTCTTCCACAAAACTGGTCCCCAGTGCCAGAAATGTTGGGGACTGCTGGCATAATAGATGTCATCAACATCTCAAACAATAATAAATGCAAGTATGTAACATTTTGAAAAATAAGAGTTGCTGCCTGTGCTGGATCTCATTCTTTTTTGGCCCAATATGAACAAGCACCTTATCATATTTTATCGCAGATTCCATGAATAATACCTGTCACTCTCCTGCATTAGGGTGTAATAAAATATTTTCTTAGGGGACTATCACATATGTGCAACATGGGGTTTTGTTAGGGAGGCATAATGATGAGCATGCTGGCAAGAATCTGTAGGAGACCAAAATGTTGGCTTTATATTTGATGAGACAGATGGAAAGGCTTTAGATGATTCTCAGTTTCCAAAGTCGTCAACTTACAATCTTTTTTTTCTCAAACCAACAAATATATTCAGTACAATTATCAGTCCTTAATCATATTAAATTTTCAGTTATCTTTGGATGATACACTTGCCCAAGGTGAAATAACTAGGTGAAAAAATAGATTGAAATCTAGTATTCTGTGCATGTTTATATAGAAGTAGACCCAATAAGTTGAATAACACGAGCACAAGAATAACACTAGGAAGAAGAGACTCAATGAGTTGAATAGTTCTTTCAACTAAATTTTTTAAAGCGCATGGAATAAAAAAATACATTGCTTTGTTGTATTCAGGTTAACTAGTGCAGTTCCTTTTTAGACAATAAACATTATTAACATTAACCCAACATTATGATGTAACAATTAGGATTTTTCTAGGGTTACTGAGCTTGGATCTGTAGTATCTGAATTATACAGGAATTCACGTTAAAATATCCCTGGTAGATGATGGTCTTACATCAGCTGGAAAACATCTCCCTGAATAACTACCAAGTGGAATCAACTGTAAACTTGGCTGCCTTGCTGCCACCCTTAAGTCAAGGAGATTTATGTTTTTTTAAAAAAGCACTGATCCCAAAATATATTCTTGTTGGACTTCAGTTCTTATTTCTCTCCACTGAGCAAACTCTCTTATTTATTTTTTACAGAGTTTTCAGATTTTTACACATTGTTTTCTGATTTTGTTAGATTATGTAATTATAAAGATATATATCCTCTTATCCCATGATCTCTAAATTTACTCAAGAGCCTTGAGGGATTTGGAAATATTTAGGTTTTCAAAAAGCCTTTGAGGATGTTGACATATCACCATATATTGTATATATGTGTTTCTATAGACATATTCCCAAAGTGCTAGAAGATAATTCACATTTTTAGTTGATATCTCTCTGTATGCACATTAAAAAGTGGGATAAAATAAGGTGACAATGTTTATGTAGTACATATTGAAGGTGGTGACCTTTTGAGAGCTGTATGCAACAAAATTTCATTTTAATTTATGCAGATTAGAGTACATTCAAAGTGACAATAAAGTTATTCTATAAATTTATATTTGCAGATTACATGCTTATTTTTCTTCGGGAAGGCTTGTTAATTGATCAGATATTAACAGATCAAAGTAGAATAAAGTGCCAGCGTTATTTCTCGTGACTGGAAACAACATTTTATTCTATATGCTCTAAGAAACCCGAACAGGTTGATTAGCTTAGAGTTCCGTCTATCGCCCGAACCCAGAAAAGTGGTGTTGAAAAAGCCTTAGGTACAGTGAATCATCAGCGACTGCTGCAAAGGCGACCACAAGATCAACAAATCGCCCCACGTCTCGTGCAAAGGTGCATTGATAAAATAGCAGCTCTAGTTTATTTTGCCCTTCTCTCAGTAAAAAACAACAACACCCGATCCCCTCTGGCTTGCTCTTTTTCCTACGATGCTCTGGAACATCAGGACAGCCTTCTTTGACGTTTTGGACTACAACTCCCAGAATTCCCCAGCTAGAAGCCATGCCAGCCGTGAACTCAGGTAGCCACGCGCTAGCCACCATATCTCAGACTTCTCCTCGCGGCTTCCTCCTCTCTCTATGGTTTGAAATAGAAATAAATGGCTCCCATCACGCTGCAGCTGCGCAGTAGGCTCTTCGCCTGGCACGTGATGTCAAGAATCGTACAGTATTGGACTGAGCTAATTCGAGAACTTCTCCAGCTGCCTAGAGAAGGCCAGATTCCGTCCGGAAAGTTTCTATGATATCCAACGAAGGGCATGAACCCAAAGGCACACTGGCGGAAGTGCTGCTTCCTCGTGCTTCCGGTTGGTACCTGGGCCGAAGGTGAGTTTTGATAGCGAGGAGAGCGGGAGGCTGTTTATATAGAAGTTTATTAGAGAGGCAGAAAAAGGATGGAGCGGGGTCTTTTCGGTGGAGGCGAGGCTGCAGGCACAGGAATTGGGGAAAAATGGGGAAGGCAGTGTTGGAAACACCAATGGGTTTGCTCACTTTCATAAGGGAAGCTAGTCAAAAGACGCGCCCTCCCTCCCACCATTGCCAGCAAATAGCCGCCAAATGAGCTCACCCTGAGCGAAAAAGCTTTGAGATTCGGGCTTCCGTCATTCTACTTCAGGTCTTTTTTTTAAACCTAAATTTCATTTAATTTTTTTCCCAATATAACAAAAGTGCACAAAAGCAGACGATTAAGAGAGAAAGCCCTTCCTCTTATCAAGTTTGTTTATTCGTGTCAGAAGCATCCCGATTAAAATAAAGCATACTATATATGACATACATTTTTTAAAATATAAAATGCAAAATGATAATGTGTACAAGTTAAAATTTAATTTCTACCCAAGTAATTGCCTTCTTCTTCTTCTTCTTCTTCTTCTTATTATTATTATTATTATTATTATTTTATTATTATTATTCTTATTCTTATTATCCTTTCCTATTCTGAGGCTTTTTAACTCCTGTCTCTTTCTGCTTCAAGAGTTGATATGATGGCTTTTTCTTGCCATGACATTGATTGGTTAAAGTGGCAAATGGGACCTGAAGTGATTGATGCACTCTCACATTTTATTAGCCAGTAGAATTAGGTTATTGAAAGAGGTTTCTAAAATACTGAGCACATACAATTTTATTGAGTTAGTGAATGCGAGTGTGCATATGTTTATGTTGATAGAATTACTAGCTTCTAATATTTGTGTTCTCCAGCTATAAAAAAGCCATTTACTTGAAGTTGCGATGGATCCTCTGAGGGCTCAGCAGCTGGCAGCTGAGCTGGAAGTGGAGATGATGGCTGATATGTACAACAGGTATTAACATTTATAAGTACAAGATTTTTAAAAGCTATTTTAGCTTTTTAACCCCATGAAAAAGCTAACAGAGTTGTTATCTCATTCATTTTGGACTACACCATTGGAATACAGTCATAGGTATCTACGGTTAGCCAAATTGATCCTTACAAGGAAACTCCAACTGTCTTTGAATTTTGATTAAGGAAGCTGTTTCTGCTAGGCAATGGTGGCCAGTGCATGAAATGCTGGGGCTTAGTGAGACCTCCATGCTTGTCACTCAGGTGATTGGACAGCAGGGGTGGGTTTCTACAGGTTCTGTCCACCTCTGTAGAACCGGTAGCTCTGAAGAGCAGCAGACATAGAACCGGTTCAATGTCTGCTGATGTTTTTGCCCACCCACCCACTTGGGCTCTTACCTGATCTTTATTTCCTGATTTTTCAACTTCAGCTGCTGAATGAGGCACAGCTGCAGTTAGAAAAGCAGGAAAAGAGGGCTATTTCAAAGGCTGCTTCTCTGCACCCAGCATGCTGATGACAATTTACAGGCGCACGGCTTGCAGCCTGCAGGGAAGCTCGTAAATCCTGAACCGGTAGTTAACTCTCTCGTACCCCACCCCTGCTAGACAGGCTTAGGAGCTTTTAATTGTGGAGATGCTTGGTGATATGACTGAGAAGATGTGAGCTCCTCTACTTCTGCAGCTCTGGCGGTAAGTCAGATGATGAAGCATACCATAGTACCAGAGAATGAGATTGTCAATTTATGAGAAAAGGAAAAATATAAGAACGAACTTTTTAAAAATCTTCTGATGTTGAATAGTCACTATTCTATAATTTTTTTTTAATAAATTTTATTGAATTTACAATTAAAAAAAAAACATAACAACATTACATATGCAACAGAGAGAGAAAAAGAAGAAAGAATTAATGTAATTTAATTTTAGTTTTAATATTTTTATGTTTTATTTATCGGTCGTATTATATTGTATGCTGCCCTTAGTCCCCATTTGAAGGAGATGGGCAGTTTAGAAATAGGAGGTATAAATAAATAAACTGAAGCAGATGAAAGAAGCCTGGTGAGATAACGGGATACCTCTGGGAGGCAAAGAAAGCAGAGGGGGGAATATAGGTACAGTAATATCACTAGTGTGGGGCAAGAGCATTTATGGGCAATCTCCAGCCATGATGCACTGAGTGTGGCAACAGCAGGAAGACTTGCATGCTGGGAGGAAGAGAAATACTAGCATTACCCAGGGGGAAAAAAAAGGAGAGATGGTTGCCGTTATTTCTTTTAGTCTCCTCCTAGATCTGCCCAGTATTTTGCTCTCTTCCACTTCAAGGCAGTGAAGTTGCCTTCTTTTTTGTAAGTACCTCTCCCAGCAAAAACAAAACAACCCAAAAACCAGTGTAAGTGGGTTTTTTAATGTTTCATATGTATTGTGGGCTTCTTGCAATGACTGCAGTTTTTCAGAGTCTATGGCCCACTATTTGGAAACTATTGATTAGATACTTATAATAAAGAAAGTGCTATTAATGCTAAAATGGTTGTTAGAGCTAAAATTATAGAAAGAAAACTTAAAATTGAACTTGTAATTAATGAAGATGAGTAATAAATGATTCAGTCTTAACTGGTTATTGATAATATATTGGGATAAATAATGTGGTATCTAAAATATTTTTGTATTAATATAGCTTTGTATTTAGTATCACTGTTTCATTTAATAGTGCTATATCAACTTCCTGAAGTCCATGAAGGGTTTAAGTGGGGATAAATCTCATAAATTAGATATGCCAAAATGGCACCTGCCTAAAAAGGTGCTGGTCTGTTTTAATCCAAACGTGTTTTTTTCTGAGACAGATCAACAGATCAGTTTAGTAGTAATACAGGCATATTTTCATTAAATGTTAATAGTGTGCTTAGCAATAATATGGGTAAACAAATTACAACATATAGCTGTTTGCTGGGAACAGTTATGAGTTCCTAACTATTGTGTGAGTTTTATGATAAAAAGCAAAAGGAATAGGTATAACAGTCCTTTTTATAGTCATAGCCAACATGCAGGGATTGGTGGAAGACCTAGCTGTGCTATAGTTTCATGTGTGTCCATTGAGGATGCAAAACTGAACAAACTAATGGATATGCAGGTGTAGGAGTTGGAATTGGAGACTGGAGGCTAAAAGGGAGAATTGACTATTGATTAATTCCACCTCCTCTAAAACTGGGTAAATTTACATACTTGATTATGCAGTATATTTATGCTGGATACTCTGTATTTTACTTGTTCTTTTTCCTGAGAAAAAGTTAGGCTGTTTTTAAAGCTACATGTTCAAAGCAAATTTTTAACATCTTAACATTAAAATAATCTACGTAAGAAGTGATGGGAAGTTTAGGGATATCAGCCTCAGATGAGAGATAAAGACATAATGAATTTGAACTAACTTATTAAGATGGCACCATAAGTTTGATTCCTTGTGAATGAATGAACAAAGTCTCACCATCTCAACCTGTCTTTTAATAGAAACTTACAGCTTTCCCTTTTAAAAATAAGTTTATAAAAAGTTTTTAAAAGAAGATAAAAACTAATACAAGCAAGGCAAGAAAAGAAAAATCAAAAGAGAAAATTAGAAATGCAAGAAAGGAAAAAGTTTTTTAAAAAGAAAATAAAAAATGCAAAGAAGTGGCTTCCAAACTTCTTTATTCCAGTTATAAGTACAATTATAAATGTCCTTCTTTTTCTAAAGTTACAAAATGTCTGCCTTCTTTCTATCATCTATTCTGTCTAATCAAAGCCAAAAATCATAAGTTCATTTTTTTCTCTTTTCTGCAATAAGTCTATAAGGGTTTTTTTAATCAATAATTAACATGGATAGTGGCTTTTCTCTAATCAAAGAAGAGAATTTGGCTATCTCAGCAAGTTCCAATCATCTTCACCAACCATTCTTCCTTTGTAGATTTCACTAACTCTTTTCCTCTTTGGGCATACATGTCCAAATGTGATTTCCATAAGACCAGCTTGGACTTCCTAGGCTACCAAAGCTTGAAGAATGGCACAGAAATGGATCCTGGGAAGGTCCCAGCGATCCTAGAACGGGAGCCTCTGCAAACGAGTAGAAAACTACAAAGTTTCCTCAGCTTTGCTAACTTGTATCATCAGTTCAGCGTAACATGTGCTCGAATAGCCCTATCAATCACAAACTTGTTGAAAGCTAAACCCAGGCCTAGCCAACCTCAAAACTGATGACTGGAGTGCCAAGCCCATGTTAGAGAAGATCAAACGTCTTTTAGCCGCTGAATCTGTCCTAAAAGCCCTGACCAAGATGAGCCCTTTGTAATATAAGCAGATGCTAGTGATGTGGCTGTGGGGGCGGTGCTTGTTCAGTAAAACGCAAAGGGAGAATTACAGCCGTGTGCTTATACCTCCCACAAGCTCTGAGACTGAGAGATGATGGACTATCTGGGAGGAGGAACCCTAGGCAGTCTGTTGGGCACTCCTTACTTGAAAGCAATTCCTGGAGGGCAGTAAAATCCCCTTCAAGGTGTGGACAGACCACAAAAACCTAGAAGCATTGAAGGCTCCCTGTTGGGGAATTGTTTTTTTTCTAAGAATCTACATATTTCATTACTGTACTTTGTTATCTAACCATTGATAAAAAAGATCCCAAATTTTATAAAATTGTTTATCCTCTTGTTCTCTAATTTCAAATGTCAATCTACTCATTTCAGCACACTCCAATATTTTCTTAATGATTTCCTCCTGTGATGGTATCTTCTCATTTTTCCAGTTTTTAGCAAATACAATCCTAGCCGCTGTTAATACATTTACAATCAGGTATTTCAAGTCTTTACTATAAATTTCAGGTAAAATTCCCAATAAAAATATCTCTGGTTTCAAGTCTATGTGTTTTTTCGTCATTTTCTTCAACCACATGTGGATTTTAGTCCAGTATTTTTTGGCATCCGCACAAGTCCACCACATATGGTAAAATGAGCCAGGTGTCTGATGACGTTTCCAACATTTTTCGGATTTATTCTTGAACATTCTTGCTATTCTTGTTGGGGGAAAATGTCACCTGTAAAACATCTTATACAAATTTTCTTTATATGCTGTTGACATTGTCATTTTATAATTTTGAGACCACAATTTTTGCCATTTCTCTAGATCAATCCCATATCCAAAATTCTTCCCCCAAGCAATCATAGTTTCTTTAACTTGTTCTTCTAATTTAATTTCTAATAAATATCTATACAGTTTTTTAATCACCTTTTCATCAGTACCTGTCAAAATCTTATCTAAATCAGTCAATTTATCATAGAAACCTGTTTTAGAATCTTTATCATACCTTGAATGTATTTGCGCATATGAAAACCAATTCATCTTCATACCTTATTCCTCTAGTTTTTGCATAGATTTAAGTTCACCCTTTTCATTCAGTATTTCACCATATCTAACTGTTTGTTTCTTTTTGTATATTATAGGATACGAAAATGCTTCAATAGTCGATAACCAGACTGGAATTTTCAAATAACATTGCCTTTTAGTCTTCTCCCAGTTTAACCACAGAGACTCCCGTATATAATGTCTTCTAAAATACCCCTGTGTTTTAGTTCCTTTGTACCATAAAAAAGCATGCCACCCCAACAACAAATCATGTCCTTCTAATGTCAACAATCTAGCATTTCTTAGTGTTATCCATTCTTTAATCCACATCAGTTTTGTAGCTTGGTAGTACAATTCTCAATTAGGCAGACCAAATCCTCCTCTAATTTTAGCATCTTGCAAGAGTTTTAACTTTATTCTTGCTTTCTTACCTTGCCATATATATTTCAACACAATTTTATTTAAATCTTCAAAATAATCTTTTCCAAGCCTAATTGGAATTGTTTGAAACAGATATAAAATTCTGGGTAATTTATTCATCTTGATTGTTAAGATTCTCCCTATTAGTGACAGTTGTAAGTTTTCCCATTTCGCCAAATCTAGCGCTATCTGCTGTTTAAGTTTAATATAATTATTCTCTTTTAATGTACTACATCTTGCTGTCAAATATATCCCCAGATACTTAATCTTATTCGTGACTTGAATTTTCAATAGGTCTGCCAGTTCTTCCTTTTGTCTTAATAGCATATTCTTTGTCAAAATCTTTGTCTTATCTTTATTTTCAAACTAGCCACCTTTCCATATGTCTCCATCTTTTCTATCAATTTTGATGCTGTTTCTAAAGGGTCTTCTAAGATGAAAACCAGATCATCCGCAAATGCTTGCAGCTTAAATTCTCCCTTTTTGATTTTCATTCCTTTTATATTCTTTTCATCTCTAATATTTCTGTTTAACACTTCCAAAGTTAACACAAACAAAAAAGGTGATAGTGGGCACCCTTGTCTTGTTCTTTTTCTTATGTTAATAGAGTCTGTCAGCTCTCCCTCTATCATCACCTTTGCCGTTTGCTTATACTATATAGCTTCTATTGCTTTCCCTGTTGGGGAATTGAACGCCAGTCTCCCATGTGACAGGTGGGGATACTTACCACTATAATAACAAGTTATCTGCAGCAGTTATCATATGCAACAACAAAGTTCTATGACTTCTCCAACTCTCTTTCCATCAGTCCCACATAAATATCTCTGGTCTCCAATTTATTCAAAAGTTATTTTACCCCCCAAATATTTCAAAATTAGTTACATCAGAAAATTTTTAAGAAAGTATGCTTGTGCAAACTTTGTGTCCATATAAGCTGTGTTATGGCTGTGAGTTTACTTGAAATCCCAGCCACCCAATTCATGAGTCGACTGCAAAAACTTCGGTTCTTGCAGTCTATTCTCAAGAAGCACCTGCCCCCAACTGCAAATGGCAATTTCATAGTCTCTCCTTATGTCCAAAAAGAATGCTAGCCAAAATTCTATGAATGGTCACCAATCTCTGCCAATTTTGGTTCAAGCAGTTAAAAGTGGGGGCAGGAATTTTGTACAGTACTTTCAGCATCGCAAAATGGACGACAATCAGGAAACAGAACCAGATGAATGAATTAACAATCTTGTAAGTCTGAAAGTACAAACTTCCCACCATCACTTTTAATTGCTTGATATTTTAGGGCAGGTCCCTCCCAATATTCTTTCTTTGACTGTTAAGCCACAGGAGGCTCCTGCTCGCTCCTCTGATAGTTTCCTGGGTAGCATCTTTTCTCCTCGTTCCCGAAGTCATCCACCTATTCCATTACAACAGCTTATTTCATGTCACTGCCATTGATTAATAAATACAAAAAAAACAAAATACCTGAGATTTCCCCGTTTTTCTTCTCTTTCCATATTCTTTCAATTTCCTGGTTTCCATTGATCTTTCATATGAATAGGCTTTTTATATGCTGACACAGGCTTCTTATTTCCTGAGAAATATATAAACATATGTATATTTATATCTGCAAACTAAGCAGACATTCGGGAATCAGTGGAAACAAAAAAAACAAAACTTAAACATAAAAAACAAACATACCAATAAAAGGAACTGGAACTGGCATACACTAGTAGTAACAGTTATATGTAAAAGGACAGGTAAGAAAGTCTAAATCTGATAAGATGTGTTGGCTTCCCTCAATCCCATCCATCTATACCTTTTTTCCTAAATATGCCAAACATACTTATTATCCACTACTTGTGTCATATTCCCAAAGTATGTAAGTATTTGCTTATTCAATTCTTTATTTTTATTTACAACTGGTCCTCAGTTTAAAACCATTAATTTAGTGACCATTCAAAGTTACAGCGGCACTGAAAAAAGCAACTTATGACCATTTTTCACATGACCATTGCAAAATCCCCATGGTCACATGATCAAAATCGAGACACTTGGCAACTGACTCATGTTTATGACAGTTGCAGCGTCCCGGGGTCATGTGATGACCTCTTTGCGAGTTTCTGACAAGCAAAGTCAATAGGGAAGTCAGATTCGCTTAACCATGTTACTAACTGAACTTCAGTGATTTGCTTAACAATTGTGGCAAGAGAGGTTGTAAAATGGGGCAAAACTGAACTGTCTCACTGAGCAATAGAAACTTGGGGTTCAACTGTAGCCTTAAGCGGAGGGCTACTGTATTAATCAGTTTTATAAGGTTGCCCATCTATGTATTGAAACTCTGGGCACCAAATAAAAAATATCAACAGTCATATAAAAACCCCAAGTCGAGTCTCCTCATTAAAAATCTGAAAAGATACCAAGACCATAAATGCAGACTATAGCTTCAATAATTACGGTCTGGCCCAGCCTCTGAGCAAAGAGGCAATCGTTCACAGCCTTTTGAAAGGCTGATAGGATTAGACCAGTGGTAGTCAACCTGGGCCCTACGGCCCACTAGTGGGCCTTCCAGCTTTCATGGTGGGCGGTAGGGGTTTTGTCCCCTACTTTATAAATCACCATTACTGTGGGACCGGTGGGTGGTTAGAGAAAATTTTACTACTAACAGAGATACAAAAGTGGGGGGTAGGTATAAAAAAGTTGACTACCCCTGGATTAGACTATCCGTATCTTTTGCTGCTTTTATCATCCAGTGGAAGTGCCAATCATTATTTGGTCCAGGACTAATTGACCAATGACTTTTGCATGCCCAAAATGGATTCAAGCATTTTGGAAAATATTTTCAATCCAGAACAATAATTTTTTCCTTCAAGCAGAACATTTCATGAAATTTCGTGTTTGAAACTCTTTAAAAATGAAAAGTTTTGCACCTCTATTTTTTTTAAAAACATCCTTTTTATTTGGCATTTCTCTTTCCATGTACAGGTAATCTTCAACTTACAACCATTCATTTAAGGGCTGTTCGAAGTTACAACAGAACAAAAAATAAAGTGACTTATAGCTGTTTTCACACTTACTACTGTCACGGTATTCCTGTGTTCATGTAATGAAAATTCAGTCGCTTGGCAACTGGCATATATTTATGAGGGTTGCTGCATCCCAGGGTCCTGGGATCCCCTTTTATGACCCTCTGACAAACAAAGTCAGTGGGGAAACCAGATTCACTTAACAAATACGTTATCAACTCAACATCTGCAGGGATTCACTTAACAGTTGTGGCAAGAAAGCTTGTAAAATGGGGCAAAACTCACTTAACAACTGTCTTGCTTAGCAATGGAAATTTGGGGGCTCGACTGTTGTTGTAGATCAAGGATTACCTGTATGGATGCTTTTTGTAAAAAGTTAAATATTTATTTATTAGCTTGTGGGATTTTGGAAATTTCTGCATAGTTTTATATGTCCCTGTTTTAGCCCCATATAGGTAGATACACTTTATTTTCAACTGTCTAAGCCTCACATAGAGATGTCAGCATTAACTACCGGTGCCTCTTTTCCTACAACTTTAAAGGATTCAGTGGGCATTTCATCTGCATTTGATGTATTCCCGTTTGAAGCTTTTCTATCGGGTCATGTTCTTGTTGGGCTAGTTCCTAAATATATTCTCTCTTCCTTCAAATGTCTTTGTCAATTTACAATCTCTTTTGTAAATGATCCCAGTGTAGTCTTTTCATCTTCCTTGAATCTCTTTTGTCCATTCAGATATTTTCTATATTTTTTGTTGAATATTTTACCAGAGCTGAAAAATTTCCCTTGATTTCTGGTTTTTTTACTGCTATTTTTCTTGATACTTTCCCCTATTTATTCACAACCGTAACTTTTCGTGCCTTTTTTGATATGGAATGTCTGTGTCCAGTCAACATACATCCTTATTTCCTTTCTTTGATCTTTCCTCAGTTATCATGACAGCTTGTTCTGAAAGACACTTGAATCTTTTCCTTGGTAAAATTTTGGGGATTTTGGTTTGCTGGCTTGTTTGTTTTTGCTTTGGTTTCCATAGGAACTCTTCTTACCATACCTTGTCAGATTTAGTTTTGTGTAATTTAAATATACTAATATGTACCATGCACTGACCTTGTGTATTTCAACTATATAGCCTCTAAGTCATATTTTACTGATATACCTTTTTTTCTTTGATTTTCTAAGTTTAATCCATTTGAATAGCAGTAATTCATGGTCTGTTTTACAACCTGTAACTGACTGACTGGATTGTGCTTTTTCATCAGAATGGCTGCTAAAAGAAGATAGCAGTGATGGCAGAGAAGCATTTGAAGAATTGTTAATAGAATAAGAAACCTACTGTAATCCAGCTACTGAGGCAAAATACGGATTTCTGAATGAAGTGCTGCTACTCATTCCATCATAGTGTCATCTGGATTAGAATATTAAGACGAGGTTAAACTAAGTCACTCAGGGTGCTTTGAGTCTGCAGTGTCCAATATACAAAATTCAGTATTGAATTGATAGTTTCTGTCCAAAAGTATAGTCTAGACTATTTGTAGATCAAGAAGGGCTCAATCTGTAATTTTGATCCTAAAGAAACCAAAGCTGCACCACAGATTGTCAAACTCTTAGAGGAAACATTATGTTTTAGATACCATTAGAGTTGTGGGCATGATGGTCTTCAATGTTTTATCAGAATGAAAAGCAGATGCAGAACTCTGAAGAATGAGCTGTTTTCTCAAACTCTTTTCTTCTTGCACAATCACAGAATGACCAATGCCTGCCATCGTAAATGTGTTCCTCCACACTACAAGGAAGCAGAACTGTCAAAAGGGGAATCCGTGTGCCTGGATCGCTGTGTCTCCAAGTATTTGGACATTCATGAGCGGATGGGCAAGAAACTGACAGAACTCTCAATGCAGGATGAAGAACTGATGAAACGGATGCAGCAAGGGACTGGACCTGCCTAAACCCCTGTTTCTGATTCTCCCAACCTATCTCTACACCTTGTGTCCGGACTGGTGTTCAAAATTCTTGCTTTTGCCAATAAAACATCCATGCTGTGTTTCCTCTGCCAGCTGCTAATGGGGCTGAAACTTTGTCTTCCATTTTTAGGCTCGATAAATGATTGTGCCTTGTGAAGGAAAAGGAGCTCATCTCTGGAATCTTTTCGTTAGCTTATTCTCTCTCATTGAACAGTGGAAGCTGAACCTTCGGGTTTGCTTAGTGGGCTATTTTTACACTTATTATCCAACTCCACAGAATTTCCTGGCTTATTTCCATTCCCTTGGTACACTATCAGAAAAAAGGAAGCAGTTTATTATCATCCAGTTAAAATACCCTTCTTAGTTATGTTCAGTTTTTAAATTCAGGACTAGGCAGGGTGCTTGTGTAGTACTTGTGCTTTTACTTCCTTAGAGCAGTTGCTATGTCTTTTCCTGAGATCTGTTTACAGTACTGTACACCAAACAGATTTATAGACATGCTGTATGCATCTCCCCAGGTGTCCCCTTTTGCATTTGACGTCAAAGAACTGCAGTCTTTTCTGTTTAGAAAAGTGTTTCCCTGCCTAGGCAACTCTGAGAGGAGTGGAGTTCAACTCCCAGAATTCCCCAGCCAATATGATCATTGCTGGCATTCTGGAAATTGAAGTCCAATCTTCAAGCAAATGCTGGTTTAGAATCATAACATCATAGCTGAGGGGTATTAAGGGCGTTTCTAATACGTTCCTTCCCTCCTGCAGCATGTGGAACCATTTAACTCACTTCCATGGGGAATGGGAGTGGTGCATCACATGACACAACTATCTCTTAGCTGATCTAGGTAGTCAGCCAAGCTAAATGGGAGGAAAACAATCCAATTTACCAGCCAATGTCAGGAAGCGGGGGAGAGGTAGAATTTTCCCTTCTCCAAATTTCAAATGTGAAATGCTTCAGAAGCAGAATTTTCCACCAAGGAAAAGGAACAAGATCAGTAAACATGCTGGCCTGTATAACACCTGATAACATAATTGTTAATGTTTAAATAATTGATGTGAGCCGAGTGTTTCCCTGTGTTTGGGCTCATTGATAAAACTGGCTGCCGTTGCAACAGATAATCAGAAGGGGGAACTAGAGCCTGCAACTTTGAAGGCCCTAGGATTGCTTGGTTGGTTTGCAGATTTCAGAAAGTAGGAGCCCCCATATGTAGAATTCTTAATGGACACCAGGCAGAGATTGAGTAGTGCATCTTGGAGAATTGTAAACTATTTGATAAGTGACTTCTGATTTCAACCACTTCTTCAAAGAAAGATTACTGAAATTATTAGCTGTTAGCTTCTTGGCTAAAATATAGCTGCTGTTCTTGTTTGATGTACTTACTGAACCAGCAAATTTTTTGTTGTAGCTTTTTATTGGAGGGTATGAACCATTTCTCTGTAATTTGAAGCAGAGATCCTATTTCTCTTCACGTGGTCTTCATTTTGCTGGAAATGAGGTGCGGCACATTGTTGCTTTCCAAATAGCTTTTTGCCTCAAATGCACTTGTAATTCAATCTCTGTTGAAGAATGCCTCTGTGTTTCTGCATTGTTCTGGATGTTGCAGTCTCTAGTGTGACATCTGTGAACATATAGGAGCTTTCAGAAGACTGCCATGGGGCTCCCTATGCAATCTCTCCGCCCCCCCCCCCCACCATAGATTGATTGATATTTTTAAGAACTGTTTCCCAGAACAGCGGTTATTCTTTGCCTGCTTGGTGCACCTTTCTGGGTCCTTAACGCACACACCCACTTTCATTTGGATTTCACAGCATATTTGTGGGTTGCGGAGGCTAAATTATGCCTGTTGTGGCTTGTAGGAGAAAAATGTGGAGGGGAGGGAAAAACAGATGGAGGCCATGGGAGGAAGGTGAAAAAGCGTGGGTTGGTCCAGGATGGTGCATGCATGGGAGGGAGGGAGGGAGAGAAAAAAAATCAATGCAATTAAATAGAAAATTCAAGTGGAAGAGGTCTGGGTTAAGGAAACCACGGGGAAGCGGAAGGGAAAAAAGATGGCAGTAAAATGGAGGTTTACATCTCTGCACATGTACACACACACACACGTATGAAACAAAATTTTACGATTGGTACTTTTTAAGGGGTGAGTTGAGCTGGTTAGCATTGACTAAGGGAGTAGGAGAAATGAGTTGGCTGGTGAAGACAAGTGCCATTTGCCTTTTCTTTTTCTTGCATTCTACGAAATTGAGGTTCTACGGAAGCAGAAAGCCTTGCTTTCAGTATTTGCTACCCGTCTATTTGGCATTTAATTTCATGGGCAAATTATTGTTATTTGTCCGTTAGCCTCACTGTTGTCATTCTGTGTCAGCCCTCACAATTTGTTTTTTTTTTTAATAAAAGAAAACACTGTAGACTTCTGAGCCCCAAACCCTTTGACATCGAGCTAAGCACACTGCTACATCTTATGGCCAGCAGGGGTCGGTGGTCAACAAAGACTTTTGAGCATTACTTTTATCAAACAAACAAATAAATTTTAAGGTATGGCTAATTTTATAATGAGTATGGTTCATAATTGGGCCCTTTAGATTTCTTTTAGACTCGCTCTACCTTTTCTAATTAAATAGCGGTACTTAGCCAGAGGGTGATTTATTCAATTAGAGCTGCTTAAAGCAATTAGAAGTTATTTAAAACCACATGCTGGAAGTTATTTGGCAATCCTTGTTTGTGGTTTTATTTCTACCCCGGGCAGGATGCTATGTTGCAGTTGCTTTCATAGATCCCTGTATGCACCCTGCGGGGGCTGGGGAGAGCGACCAGAGTTTAAGGCACAGGGGCAACAGCAAAACAATTGCAAGACATTCACAGGATTTCATGATTGGGGAAAAGTGGGAGGAGGAAAGAGAAAGGGGACCCCTGCATCTTTCAAAATAAGACCTGGAATTTGATTCACAACAGTTCATTTCTATTCAATTTCATTTCTCCGAGAGGAAGGTACTACAGTAGACCTTGAATTATAACCATTTGCTTAGCATTTAAAGTTAACGACACTGAAAAAAGTGACTTATGACCATTTTTCACATTTATGACTTGCATCATCTCCGTGATCATGTGATCAAAATTCAGGTGCTTGGCAACTGGCATGTTGCATGCGACCTTTTGACAAGAAAAGTCAATTGGGAAGCCAGATTTATTTAACAATCATGTTACTAACTTAACAACAGCAATGATTGACTTAGCAACTATGGCCAGGTCATAAAATGGGGCAAAATTAACGTGTCTTGCTTAGCAACAAAAATTTTGGACTCAATTGCATTCGTAAGTTGAGGACTACCTGGACTCTAATTGTTAGGAGTCAAAAATAAACTTCCATCCAGATGTTTGCCAAGAGACCCACCACTGTTCCATATATCCATGAATCCTCCATCAATATATTTTATAGCTCCTTTACAAATTAAAAATATACAGCAAAAACACATATTCAATTTTCTGTCCAGGTCATGCAGGCCCTGGTTTCATGCTGGCCCTGTACAAAATGGTCCCATGCTGTAAAACAAACCCCAGTTCTCATCTGCGTCTCCGGGGATTTTTTCACCACTGCTGGCCTGAATGGCTTACAACCGTTGAATTAGCAGAAGACTCTGGCATGAAATTTGCCATCCTCATTGTCAATCCTTGTCCTTGCTCTCTACCGTCTCTGTTTTTCAAGGCCCAGCAGTTACCTGATTTCTTTCCAAACTAATGGGTAACAAAAGGAAACTATATCTCAGTTGTCACTAAATCTGGTTAGCTTAAGGGGAAAGCAGTATTTTAGTGTGGCTCAGGAAAGTTTAAGATCGTCATCTTGTGCACTGGGGACAGGGTGAAGATGACATCAAGAGGACACGGCAGAAAAATGAGGATGCTGGGGCATGTGTATGCTATTGTTAGATACGAGAGGGGAAAGGTCCTTTCCTGCAGTAGAGGCAAGATGTCCTTCCTATGGCTTTCAGATTATAGATATTCCTTTTGGGAAATATGCGCAAGAATCTAATGCATTTCTTCAACAGGTTGGGGCATTTTTTTTTCAGATGACTTCTTTTCCCCCTAGTCTCTCATATATGTCATTGCTTTGTATTTTCCCATTTAGGTTTTGCCTTCTATTTGATTGCTTCCTTATTTACATTTTCCCCCTCCAGGTCCACTTCTCATGGTAACCTATTAATCTTTAGGGCAGGGATGGGATTCTACTGGTTCGGACCAGTTGGGGTGAACCGGATGTTAAATTTGCATCCGGTTTGCCGAACCGGTATTTGAACTGACTGGCTGGCCCCACCCACTCCTCCCCAGAGTCTCCACATGGCCCATTTTCAATGCAAGTAAGTGCAGGGTCCATGCGGAGGGTCTCTGGGAGGAGGAAAAATGGGCCTTCCGGAAGTTCAGAAATGGGCGTGTTTCTGGCTTTTGGGGGGCCTCCAGAGCCCAGGGGAGGCCGTTTTCACCCTCCCAGAGGCCCGAGGGAAGCCTCTGGACCCTTGGGAAGGTGAAAAATGGCCCTCCTGAAAGTTCCGGTAGGCCATGCCCACCATGGCCACGCCCACCCAGCAACTGGGCAGCGAACCAATTGCTGGGATTTTTGAATCCCACTCCTGCTTCAGGGTATAAGCTTCACACTTTCACAGGAATGGGGTGGCTCAGTCTGTCCCCTTCTGTTGCTTCCAAAGTTTAAATCTGCCTTAGTGTTGATCCCCAAACCTTGTCAGCCTTGGCTTTATGTTTGCCATTGTCATGTTAGTGGTACAAGCTTGCATTTCCCTTATCAGGAGCTCTAACAGAAACTAATTTTCTCTGTCACAGCTTCTAAATGGAAAGCAAATCCATAATTCCGCAGTGGCACAGTGGTTAAAATGCAGTACTGCAGGCCACTTCTGCTAAATGCCAGCTGCCTGCAATTTGGCAGTTCAAATCTCACCAGGCTCCAGGTTGACTCAGGCTTCCTTCTGAGATCAATAAAATGAGGGCCCAGATTGTTGGGGGTGGGGGGGAATATGCCGACTCTGTAAACTGCTTAGAGAGGGCTGTAAACAGGGGTGAGATTCTACCAGTTCGCACCTAT